GATCGCGTCGAAACCCGATACCATCCACATGTTCTCATCATAAGTGGATTTAAGGCTCCTCAGATCCTTCACTACTCCAAGTAGAACTTCTTCTGTTATCCGTTTATATCCATGGCCAATTGCAAATAAATACTCAACAAGACCTTCGAAACTCATATTATGAACTTCATTGAGTTCCTTCAACAGAGTAGCTACACCATCGTTTGCCCGGGACGAGTCTAACAACTTTTTCATAAACTCAGAATCGGATTTCTCAACTTTCAAATCGCGCAACTGTAAAATGATTTCGTCAACCCTATCGGAGTAGGAATCGGTCGATTCGTTCTCACCCATGCTAATCTCTTCGAATTGCTTCTCTAATCTAAGTATCTTCGCTTCGTCGTTACCTTTTTGAAGCAAATCCCAAACCTCTTTGGACGAAGAAGCAGAGAGAGTTTTCATGGAAACCGAATCTGGGAGAGAAGATTGCAATACCTGGATCGCTTTCATGTCTTTCGCGGCGGGATCTCTCCATCCGGAAAGTTCTTCGGGTCGAATCGTCGCCGATAATTCTGGAATCTTCGACGGATCTGGAGGGACTCCGGTTTCGACAACATCCCAAAGTCCTTGCTCGATTAGTGTAGTTTTCGCCACCGGAGCCCAGATTTCATAGTCGAATTCGTCGGAATTATTCACTGTCGCCATAGCTGTAACCGTCAGGGCTTTTGTTTCTCTGTATATTCTTTCGGAGAAAGCGAATAGACTATTCCCTCGATCTCCGGGACAGTTACTATATATATGTATAAACCGTCAACTCTAACTAAACCGCCAAATCAAATTTCAGATTCGGTTTTGGTTCAGTGAATTTGGTCAATTATTCGGTTCACTCTTGAATTTGGTCAATTATTCAATTATTCGTCGCCTCTCTTTAGCATATCCCAAAGATCTTTGGCCGAAGAAGCAGAGAGAGTGGTTCTGAAAACAGAATCTGGGACTGAACATTGCAATATCTGAAGCGCTTTTGTGTCTTTTCTCACAAGATCTCTCCATTTCGAGAGTTGTTCGGCTTCAATTGTCGCGGCTACTTCTGGGATCTTGGATGGATCAGGCGGGACTCCGTTTTCGACAATATCCCAAAGTCCTTTCTCCGTTAGTGTAGCTTTCACCATTGGAGACCAAACTTCATATTTAAGGTCAACGACGGTAGTAACTTCTTGTAGAGTCGCTTCCATAGCCTCAACAAGTTTAAAATCCTTTTTTTTTTAGGGGTAATATGCTCTTGGAGAAAGCGAATAAAGTTTCAGACTAGGTTTTGGTTTGGTTTGATGACCAATCTTTCATATATCCATTGTTTGAACAATTTTTTTTAACCAACCACAAATCAAATCCCAAATCGTCTTGCACCTAGTCACTTGTTTGATTATCAGGGTGTTGAATGACCTCCATTGGTTTTTATTCCAATTAGAGTTGCATTCATATATCTTTTAATTTGCAAAGTGTTGTAATCTATAAATCTGTAGAACATAGCCCAAGTGTGTAACACAGTAATCAATACCATATAAATCAACACTGAGAGAACTCAGCATAAAACTCTTAAGCACTGAATATATATATATACCATGCTTAATCCGGAAAACACAGTATTAATTCCCAAATCTAGACTAAAGAACCAGTGCTCCAATTCCGCTACCGGAATAACCCCACACAACAAAACCAAAAACCAAATCCGCAAACCAAATCCCGCTGATGTGAGCTAAGAGCTGAGATTACCTTCAATGACTTGCAAAAGCAGACAATGACCTCTCTCTTCCAACATGTTTTCACCAAACAGTCTGTTAGTTGCCTGATCCCTTATTTGGTCCCATTTTAACAGCATAACCGTCCCGAGTCATCTGATCAACACTTAACGCGTTTGTCAGAGCCTCTGGAACGAAAAGCACATTCTTGATCGTCACCGTCTTATTCTCCCTTGTCAAGAACCTGACATTTCCTGTTCCTTGTGCCATGACCGTCTAATCTAACCCTACCTCTCCTTGTTCTGTCTAAAGTGGTGAAACATTTCTCGTATGGAGTCATATGGTCGGCGATGGTGTTGTATACCATCCACGTATTAACCGCCAAGGACATCTGCTTAGGGACTTGTTGTAGCATATTCCAAAGTTCCTTGGCCGAAGAGGCCGAGATTTGTCGTCCTGAAAACCGAGTCGGTGAGACCGGACTGCAATATCTCAAGAGCTTTCATGTCTTTTCTCACAAGTTCTCTCCACATGCAAAGTTGTTCGAACTGAAGAATCGCAGCTAAGGGCGGAATCTTTGTTGGATCCGGCGGGTCCTTTCTCCTTTAAGGTGAATTTCATCATCGCCGACCAGGCTTCCAAGTTTAGGTCATCGGAAACAGCCTCGTATACAGTCCGTGCTCTCTTAGCCGCCATAGTCGCTTTCTTTGTGTATATTAAATGTTGGAGAAAGTGAATTGATAAATCATTCTCCTAAACCCCAACACTTTCTATTTATACAGTGGCATTAATCAAATGCTAAAACTCTTCAATTCCAGTTCGAATTTTGAAATGACCAAATTGTTTATTCGCAACCGCCATAGCCGCAACTATTGGCTTTCTATAATATTGTTATATTTTCCTGCTTTTGGTACAATTTTGTTTCGGTTTACTCCAACTGGAGAACAAAATTTAACCAAAGTAAATATACTTTTATATCCGGAAAACAATTAGAAGCATAGAGTAAAATCCAAAATATTTTCCAGACAACTACTACAATTGAAAACTGAATAAGCCAAACCAAAGTAAACCGGTTACTAGTAAATGAGAGGTGACATTTACCTTACCTTCAAACGAAGGAAAAAGCCTCTATCTTCCCACATGGTTTCACCAAATAATCTTCCATTTTGATCCTTGATGGTGCATTTGTTCGCGGTCATTACAATTCCATAGCCACTCTGTGTCAACTGATCAACACTCAACACGTTTCTGTCGTTCTTGGGAACATAAAGCACGTTCTTGATCGTCTTCTTCTTTCCTTTATCAGTCATGATCACCACATCCCCAATTCCTTCTGACATAACACCATCTCCGAACATGAATTTGATCCTAGCTTTGTGACTTCTGTCCAAAGTGGTGAAATACCTCTCATACGGAGTCATATGATTCGAGGTTGTGGAGTAAATCATCCACATATTGTTATCATATGTCTTAGGACCAACATCGAACGCTAACATTTGATACTCAGGTAGTTCATTGCTGCTGCTTTGATTCTCTTTCTTCGCTTGTCTCACTGGAGGAGTACTCTGCTTATTCTCTCTGGTTTTTACAATGCTTCGATTTTGGTTGAAGCAGTCTCTGGAAATATGCCCTCTTCCTCCACATTGAAAGCATTCGCCTCTTTTACGCCTACATTTCGTTGAATCGCCTTCACTAGTAATCGAAGAAGAAGCTTCTTTCGTCCTAGCCTCTAACTCCAATCCTCTCAAAACTGCATTGAAGGTCTCCACTGGTGTTGATTCAAACATATAAAAAAGCTCACGAAGACGGTTAAAAGTCAGAATATGCGGACGATTGAGTTCCTCTCCAATCCCTAGAGATTTACCTGAACCATAATATGAATCTGACAGAGATTTCGGTTTAACTGGATTGATTCGGTTAGGTGCTTGGTATAATCCCAAACGCAAGCTTTTTATTTGTTGTTAAATACACAGCTCCAAGAAACAAAACAAAGTTATACTACATACAAAAACATTCGAGTCACAATAGTGTTTCATGGTATATTGAAAGCTCAGATAATCCGAAGAATTTATTCCTGTGGGTAAACTAAAGTTACAAAACAGATCAAACCCGTGATCTCTAAGAAGATTCTTGAGTGCAGTTCAAAAGCCCCAAGAAAACACGATAATCCATTCAAATGGTGGAAGAAAAGAGTGCACTTACTGGGACTTATTCTTCTGTACACTAAAAGAGCAGAGCTTAGAGACACCTCACTCTACTCTATCATCTCTCCAGACAACGTTCCTTGTTCCTCTTCTTCCCCATCGAACTCTTGTTCTACGCCTTTCACCTGCACAAAACCCTTTCATTAGAAGAAGAGACGGTAACAAGTTCTTGGTTCTCCAATGGTTACTTAACACCGCAACTTTAAGGCAGACAGATAGGTCTAGAATTATCCATATGTAGTAAGAAGCTGTTAGGAGGATGGATCGATGTTACCTCTGTTACATAATGCATCAGCATGTTCTCAATTCCCGATTTCAAAGTAACAGATGAGCTTGGACAACCGCTACAAGCTCCCTGCATCCTCAGCTTCACTATACCGCTTTCCCTAATCAAATTCAAATCCACCCAAAGGATTTTACTTGAGAGATAAAGAGAAACAGATTTCACCGATCATTGCTAGACATTCGAGAAAGTAAACTTACGGATCAAACCCGCAATACTCGATGTCCCCACCATCATCTTGGACTGCTGGTCTGATGCGCGTTTCTAAGAGTTCCTTGATCATTGCTACGGTTTCAGAGTCATCCTGAATCACAAAAAGTTTTGCCAATGAGGGAGAAACAACAACAACACCTGTTACCATTGGCTTTATCTACCAAAATCTTGGAGAGCTTTGCAAAATGTCCAACCATAATCTACAGAAGATCATATTTATGGGAAAATGGTCTCTCTCAGTAAAGTTGGCAGGGTCTGCTACAACTTCAAGATCCTAACTCATATTCATCAGCACACTAAAACAACTGGCATATATTCCATAATCAAGTATCTGATATCTATATAACTTTTAAAGCAATTCCTAACTAACTCTCAATCCTAGAACAAATGTTCATGATAATGTTCAATCAAGCATCAACAACAACCACAAACTAGATATAAACCGGCACGCTGAAGAATCCGGGAGGTAGGTACAGAAAAGTACACTCTAAACAAAACTAGCCCAAATGAGCAATAGCGCAGAATTCTTGACCTCGTTGATGGCAGTATCCTTGGCAGCAGCAGCCTGTGAGTCCAGAAACAAAGGCTGTCCAGAAGAATAGAAATCCATGACTGCTGCAAATATTTCAGGCTTGAGGATATCCCATGATACATCATCTGACTTTGTTACTGTCACAAAATCTGACCCAAAGAAAACTCGAACTACACCTGCAATCAAAGAAACAACCACATCCATCACATTGAAGGAATATAGACTTTCGATTAATCAGACAAATGAACACGAGGGATAATATACCGTCAATGGCGTAAATGGACTTGGCTAATGGTGAACCTAAAGCAGAACGAACATTAGGGAAATCAGCGCTTCCAACCTCCATGACTGGTTTGCCAGGATAAAACATCAGAGAAGAAGGATTCGGCGTCGATTGTGTTTGAATAAACATCGTCCTTCTCTGCCCTGCCCAACAAAACACCCAAGATTTACAGCTAATTAGACACTTAAAATCCGCCATGAATTTGTCTCAACAACCAAGAAGATCCATACCTCCGAGAAAAGCCCATTTCCGAGGACCAAGTGAAGAAGATCTCGACCAAGAGGGAGTATAATCCGTCGTCGGAGAATCACGTGAATTGGTCGGAAAGTGTGTTGCCGCCGAGATGAAAAGCGAGC